ATATATAACTTAAAATTTTAAACTGAAAAAAACAAAAGTGGCAATATTGGACATAAAAGAATCATTTGTAAAGAAAATTAAATTTTAACACTAATATTTCAAATATAATTATAATTAATAAATATGGAAGCAATTCAAATATAATTATAATTAATAAATATGGAAGTGATGATTACTAATGAATAATATATCAATACATTAATTTTTAAAATTATATATAATTTTTTTTAACTACTATATAAAGTAGTTGAAAAAAAAATAATTAAAGATTTTAAATTTAATTTATTATTAATTATTTAAAAATAATTATAACTTATATGCAAAATATACATACCTTTATAAAATCCATATTGTATATTTATTTATATATATTTGCTTATATTATTATTATTATTAATATTAATAATAAATACCAAGAAACATTATTTATATATCACAAAGCTTGTGCTATACAAAAAATCTTGTACTATTTTTTGTTTAATTTATATAATTTAGTCTAAAAGTTACTGCATATGAATATTAAAAGTGATGTTTATATTTATTATATTTAATATATTATAATTTATAAATATTAATTTGTTTATATATAATATATAAAAACAATATTACTTGTGCAATCTCAAATTGAAATTAACGATTGTGAGTTTTTGCACAGAGCTTTTATATATATAATCACATTTATACATATATACATGTATATGTATATATATATATATATAAATTTATATATACAAAAGGTCATTACCGATTCGCATCGCATTGAAAATTAAAATTCAAACCGTAACCTTAAAGAAAGTGTTCAAGTTTCGTTTTCAATTATTTTAATTCAAAAAGCGTTTTATTTCCTTAATTTTGTCTTTTATAGAAAGCTAAACGATATATAAAAATTTAAACAGAGTAATTAAACTAGGTGTAAGTGACAGCTTTGCTTGAGGCAAATTACTTGCACTTTGCGATACGTGAAAATCGATTAAATCAACAATTTAACCACGATACTTTAAAACAAGTTGAAAATTATGATATAAATCATGTTCTACTCGTCGAGACCTTTCAAACGATACCCCACAAGCAGTACAAAACATAACTTAACATTTTTGAAGTAAAACTTCTTTAGACTCGACTAGAAAATTCGATAACCGCGATAATAATATAACAAATTGAAATTTGTCATATAAATCACATTCTACTCGTCAAAACCTTTCAAACGATACCCCACAAGCAATAAAAAATACAACCCAACTTTTTTGAAGTAGCACTTCTTTAGACTCAACTAAATAATTAAGTAGCCGCGTTAATTTAAAACAAATTAAAATTCATCACATAAATCACATTCTACTCGTTCAAATCTTTTAAACAAAACCCCATAAGTAATGCAAAATATAACTTAACATTTTTGAAGTAAAACTTCTTTAGGCTCAACTAGAAAATTGAACAATCGCAATCATTTAAAATAAATTAAAATTTGTTATATAAATCACATTCTACTCGTCAAGACCTTTCAAACAATACCCCACAAGCTATAAAGAATATAACTTAACAGTTTTGAAGTAAAACTTCTTTAGACTCAACACGATTAAATAATCGCTATAATTTAAAACAAATTAAAATTCATCACATTCTACTCACAGATAGAACAAAAAATGCAACTTTACATTTTTGAAGTAAAACTTCATTAGGTTCAACTAGAAAATTGAAATACCGTCGATTTTACGCAAATTTTACCCGACATCAAACGATTCAGAATGACTTAGGAAAACATGGTTGGCTGTTGGGATTTTCTGAAAAAAATAAATATATTATTATTATTATAAACATGAACTAAATTTCATAGGCAAAACTTGATATATTACTTTCTCGAGTATTTCATATACATATACACAAAAGCATTTAATTATATATATATATATATATATATATATATATATATATATAATAGTTTTATCTACACATTTACAATATTACATCTAAGTTCAGTCACATATATAATAACAAATTATATTTAACATTTATACATTTTTACAATTTAAATAAAACAGGTCATGAGAAGGCTCTACGTTTGTTTATAAATCCATCAAACAAATTAAACAACAACGATAACAATTTTATGAAGAACACATTTTGGAAAAAATATACAGATAAAATTTAAAAGAATCACTACTTGATATGATTATATGGAAAGGGGTGCCTCAAGGTTGCTTACAAAGGCCAAACCATTTTATTTTTCAAAAAATCAAATATCCAAAAAAACATTTTGAAAATAAAAATAAAAGAGAATATGCAAATACAAAAATAGAAAGATTTCTCGATATGAATATATAAAAAGAGGTGTCTCAAGGTAGCTTGCTAAGACCTATTTCAATAATTATATAGAATCGTTACATAAAAGTTACCATCGGGGTACAAATAGTTACATCAAATATAAATAAATGTGGAAAAGCAAAAACATGATGGATCTACGTTTATATTTTATAAAAACTGGTACACCTCAAAGCTATCAGCTAGGCCCCATTTTCAAAATAAATCATACTATCTTTGTGCATTAGAAAAAAATCAATCTAAACCTTCTATAAAAGGATAAACAACATAGTTTTATTTAGTTAGGCATCATTTTCAAAATATATTCCGTAATCTTAGTCAAACCAAATTCGTTTATAAAAAATCAAACAAATTTACTAATTTCAATTTAGTAATTTAGTACGAGATTATATTAACACTGATGTACCTCAAGGTAACTAATAAGACCTTGTATGAATTTTCGTTTATCGAAACATAAAAAAATATCCACAGCTTGAATATTAGTCGATGCTTGAGCTAGAATTAACAAGTATACTGGATTAAAAATGATAAACTTTAATTATTTTGAAGGATTTCATATAAACTAGTATACCTCAAGGTTACTAGCTAGGCCCCATTTTGAAATAAGCGGTTTTATTTTCTAACAAATTGTACAAAAAGTCAATCGAAGTATTTAAAAAATAAATTTAATAATTTGATTCATTTAAATTAATATTAAGCACCAGAAGTACGAGATTATAAAGATATTGGTGAACCTCAAGAAACATTATAAGGCTCCATAAATTGTATGGACTTCAAAAATTACAAAAAAAAAAACTGGAAAAGTTCTCAATTGTTCAAGAAAAAAATTATCCATGGCTTCAAATATGATAAACAAGTAATTTTATTTTAGGATAATAAACTTACTTTTTGTTTAAACATAGTTTTATTTAGTTAGGCCTCATTTTCAAAATATATTCCGTAATCTTTGTCAAACCAAATTCGTTTACAAAAAATCAAACAAATTTAATAATTTCAATTTAGTAATTTAGTACGAGATTATATTATCACTGATGTACCTCAAGGTAACTAATAAGGCCTTGTATGAATTTTCGTTTATCAAAACATAAAAAAATATCCACAGCTTGAATATTAGTCACTGCTTGAGCTAGAATTAACAAGTATACTTGATTAAAAATGATAAACTTTAATTATTTTGAAGCATTTCATATAAACTAGTATACCTCAAGGTTACTAGCTAGGCCCCATTTTGAAATAAGCGGTTTTATTTTCTAACAAATTGTACAAAAAGTCAATCGAAGTATTTAAAAAATAAATTTAATAATTTGATTCATTTAAATTAATATTAAGCACCAGAAGTACGAGATTATAAAGATATTGGTGAACCTCAAGAAACATTATAAGGCTCCATAAATTGTATGGACCTCAAAAATTACAAAAAAAAACTGGAAAAGTTCTCAATTGTTCAAGAAAAAAAATTATCCATGGCTTCAAATATGATAAACAAGTAATTTTATTTTAGGATAATAAACTTACTTTTTGTTTAAACATAGTTTTATTTAGTTAGGCCTCATTTTCAAAATATATTCCGTAATCTTTGTCAAACCAAATTTACAAAAAATCAAACAAATTTAATAATTTCAATTTAGTAATTTAGTACGAGATTATATTATCACTGATGTACCTCAAGGTAACTAATAAGGCCTTGTATGAATTTTCGTTTATCAAAACATAAAAAAATATCCACAGCTTGAATATTAGTCACTGCTTGAGCTAGAATTAACAAGTATACTTGATTAAAAATGATAAACTTTAATTATTTTGAAGCATTTCATATAAACTAGTATACCTCAAGGTTACTAGCTAGGCCCCACTTTGGTATAAGCGGTTTTATTTTCTAACAAATTGTACAAAAAGTCAATCCAAGTATTTAAAAATTAAATTTCATTTAAATTAATATTAAGCACCAGAAGTTCGAGATTATAAAGATATTGGTGAACCTCAAGAAACGTTATGAGGCTCCATAAATTGAGTGGACTTCAAAAATTACAAAAAAAAATCAAAAAGTTCTCAATTGTTTAAGAAAAAATTATCCATAGCTTCAATTATGATAAACATGTACTTTTATTTTAGGATAATGAACTTACTTTTTGTTTAAAAATGCTATATAAACTAGTATACCTCAAGGATATCAGCTAGGCCCCATTTTCAAGATATTTTGCTATAAAAAAAAATTATTTATGAAAGTGAATACAACTATTTAAAAATGAATTTACTAATACAATTCATTTAAATTAATATTAGGTCTTAGTAGTACGAGATGATATAGATACTTGTGTACCTAAGGCAAGTTTTAGGGCCCTAAATAATACAAAAATTCTAAAAATCTATATCAATTTTAGATTAAGAGGCAATCTTTGATCCTCTGAATTTAAAGCTCAAATTATCTTAAACGAGTTCATTTGTTTCAAGATAATAAACTTATATAAATATTTATATATACATAAATAACATCCGAAGAGTAGACAACTCCAATAAATTATTTTACCACTAAAGATATGCATAAACGACAACTACAACTAATCATAATATAAACAAAATACAAAAGTCTTTTAACATTTATATATAAATTTAATTATTTAAACTAATTGGCAAGATTTTGACTAAATTCATTACAACTAACCGATATTGCAATTCAAGATATGTATTCGAGTTGAATAGACCAAAAAAATAGGCTGATGACAATAAAATTTTACTCAAACGACATCAAATTAGCAGGCAAGACATCATTGTTCTCCACACCGTAATTTTTCATTAAGTTTTCAATTTGTTTTGTCAGTTTTTCCCTCCAATGATTACAATCACTAGCACTAGGGCATTTGAATCTGTATGCTTTACCTTCAATCCTGTTTACCAACTCAAAGGCCAAGTCTTCTGAAGAGTCATCACGGTTAGAAGACTGGTCTTGGATTTCATTCACGGTCCAGCCGAGTAATAAAGTAGATTTTTGGGGATCTCTCTTGAAATCAGGACGATCATTCCTGAGATAAAAAATCAAATTTTAGTTTCCAGGACTTGTGTTAGATACCTATTTATTTATTTACCCTTTGAATGATTTTGCAGCATAATAGTGCAAAGAGTCTGCAGACAACTGCATCCAAAATCTCTGCCACTGCGTCACCAATGGTGTCTTTCTGTGCTCCCTTAGTACCGTTTTTCTCCGCACAAATCCTTCATGGATCGCTGTGATGTCGCTGTGTTCTCGATATGTGTTTGAGTCTTTGCTAGATGATGATGTTAGTCCTGATGAGCCCCTTTTAGATAAAAATATATATTTAAGTAAGCTTTAACTGCCCTGTGGAGTAGGGTATAGAAATTGCAAAAAACTGCCATTTGGTGGTCAAAAATTATCAATACAGATCAGTATCAGAAGTAAAATTATTGGTGACAGGTAAATAGGTAAATAAGTAGAAAAGGAGAAGAGCAGATGGCAAACAAGTTAGCAAGAGAAGAAGTAGGAAAAAATACTAGTAAACAGATGAATGGATAGACAGGTAAAGCTGTAGTGTAAGTTATGGAAACTGCAAAAAACTGCCATTTGGTGGTCAAAAATTATCAATACAGATCAGTATCAGAAGTAGAATTATTGGTGACAGGTAAATAGGTAAATAAGTAGAAAAGGAGAAGAGCAGATGGCAAACAAGTTAGCAAGTGAAGAAGTAGGAAAAAGACTAGTAAACAGATGAATGGATAGACAGGTAAACAAGTGAAAAAGTGAAAAAGTAAGAATGTAAACAGGTAGACTACTTGGTTAATAATTATTGATCAAATCCATCATTTACAAATCTTGGCAAAATGCCATACATTTCTCTTATTTCTTACCAATATTTTCCATTAACATTCCCAGGAGTAAAATTCCTCCCAAGACTCTCACACATCCTAGACTGCATTTCAGGCTTCTTGGAATCTTCCAACAAAGAATCATCCAGCAGATGTCTTGAATTATACTGCTCAATAGCTTCCACAGAAGCATTTGTACTTTCGGTTGATCCATTCGGATTCAGAGAAGGTTGATTCGTTTTGTAGAAAATACTAAATCATCCAACAAAATTAGTTGCAATCTACTAATAAAAAATTGTTTTTTACTCACTTTGTCCCTAAACTTCTACATTTTCTGTGTCCAGGTATAAATTTGGCAACAGGATTTGAGATTCTTAAACTGCCGGAAGTGGTGGTACTTGTTGGATTGTTGGTGTTGTTTGTGGTGGGTTTTGTTTTTGCTTTTGCTGGTGAGAGATTCAATGATGCCATGTTTCTTGTTTGTTCTAAATAGAAAAATATGAAAAATTAAACAAAAACCTATAATAATTATTTTTATTTAAAATTTCTTTTACCTTGTATCATGTTATTGGATAGTTGACTAGATTTTTGAAGATCACCATTGGCATCAATGTTAGAATCAGTAGATTCTGTATTTTTCTTATTCTGTTGCATTGTACTGCTTGCAGGTGGCTCTAATTTTAAAGATAATCTGCAAAAGATAAACTATTTATTAAAACAACAATTGTTAGTGTAACAAACATGTTATTCTTAATTATTTACTTGTACTGATCGTCTTCCAAAAACCTCTGCAACTCCTCAATATACTTCACCCGTTCCAAATATTTCTGCACAGCCTGATCAACTTTCAATTCATCATATCTTGATTGTTGATACAGCGCAATGACTCTTAAGATATTGTCCATTTTTCTGGACCTTTGACTTGCAGGCTGTGACATGTCAATGTAGACAAAGTCTGTTAGAAATAAACCTAAAAAATAGGGTAAATCATGTGTAAATTCTACTAACAAAATTCTTTCTAAATAATTCCTCTTCTTACCCAAGTATGGTATACAAGGTAACCGCAGACTGTCCTGGTACTCCCTCAACACTTTCCAGTTCTCCTTTTCACTAAAAACACTGGCCAGTTTCTCAAAGGTCAATTTATCTTTTTTCTGCACCAAATTCCAGGATTTGTCCAGCCTGTGTATACTTGCACTTTGCAAACCAGAAATGACTGCAAAAAGTGCATGAAGATTATTCAAAGAGTGTAGATGACGAGCTATTTTTACAAAGTGAGATATGTGTTCGGAACGTTTTTTGGGAGTTGGACCTGCCAGAACCTGAAATAAAAGGTAATATTAGACAAAGTATGTTTTTTGGGTGTGATTTAAACCTTTTACCTCAGAAACTGTCCAAAAACTGACATTATTAAACCGTCTGGTGAACGCAACAACATTAGGAGCTACATTTAGTTTATTTCTGCTATTCCATGCACAACTTGTTAGTTCTTCAGCTTGGATAGCAGTGAAGGATGGAAGATCCAACAAAGTTATTTGTTCTGAAACATGATGATTGGTTACACAACATTATTTACTAAATTTACAGAAATTTTGTTAAACCTGCAAAAGTTTGTGGAGCAACTTCCAAAAATTCAATTACTCTGTTTTCCTGAATATCACCTCCGGCTTTTCCATCACTGCTGGTTCCATTGCTCAAAGAAGTCTTTCTAGAATGAGTTTTTGAATCATCATAGTCTTTTAGGTTGCACTTTTTGTATCTTAAATCAGTCTTTAAAAACGTTGACTTCAAATCCAATTTGGTGCTAATTTTGGATTCGTTTTTGGTTACATTTTTAGGTATTTTGGATTGTTCCACTTTTGCATCACTTTTAGGCTTTGTAATTTTAGAATTTGACTTAGAATCAGCTGAAGGTTTCGGGATTTTTACATCACTCCTAGCCACATGTTGAGAAGATCCAACCTTGTTGTTGAAACTAGAACGTAAAGACTTTTGAGGATCAGTCTTGGAATCGACGCAAGTTGTTTTGGAATTTTTAGTATAACGTCCTGAGTTTTTACCACTAGGTGGCCTTTTGGTTTCTGCCAGTTTGTTGTTTTTTGACAACTTGCGTGGTGACTTCAAATTCTTCAAATCTATATTGTCACTGTCAAGTTTTTGGTCAGATAACAAAGGCGTTTCGAAATCGTCCGATGAGCTACTCTGGTCTTTAAGGATCTTTGATGAAAACACTGGATCAGGCTCAAAGTTTTGTTGAGGCATCCTGTAAAGATCACTGGGATGTCCAAAATTGGTTTTGGCCAAAAAGTCTTTACGATGGCGCGTAGATCCATCATGATCCCTTGCACAATTTTTAATAGCAAACAAATCCTGAACGTTTTGTGAATGCTCCTTTAGCGTTTCTGCTTCAATTGACAATAAAGCCTCACAATCTTGTTCCGAGCCATCCAAAGACTTTCGTCCATGATCTTTGGTCTTGCTTCTGCGTCTATCCTTCAACGGCGACTTCACCAACTCCTTGCTCCTCGATCTATCCGGATTCTTCAATGACAAAAAAGCTTGTTCCAAAGTCTTCAGGGGCGATTTGGACAAATCCTTATTTTTGGACACTGGTATCTTAGTGGAAAACAAGGAGTCGATATCTGGTTCAATCGTCTGGGGATCGTATTGGAGATGTAGGAGACTCGCATTTGCTGGAAGACTATTGGATTTTATACCGTTTGTAATGACGGAGGAGTTGGCCCTGAAAAAAATATGAATGTTGACAAAACTGGAGAAGATTTTTGAAGACAAGCAGGTGAGTCTTACCCGTAATTGACGTAGCCACGAGAACCGCTTGCATTCGGGACTGAGTATTTTTTGTGCTGGGAACCGCTCGCCATTTCCAGAAAATATCCAAATGATATGTTGTAACCTTGAAAAGGAATAATATATAAATGAATATATAATAGCATACCGTTTTGTTTGCTCTTCACATATCATCTAGACATATATCAACTAAATTTAATTTGTTTTCGCGTCTGTGAAAACTTAAGTTGCGAATAAAAGAAATAAAGATTCAACTTGTTTACATGTAAAGAACTTAGTGCGAGCTTTTGAGCTTTTGAACTTCTTTCCGAAAGTTTTTCAAAGACTTTTAGAAACATTTAGGAAAAAATTCACTTAACATTTACAGACGCACATACGCATACACACATAATATATATATATATATATATATATATATATATATATACATATATACTAGATGACCCGACAGATGTCCTATATCCAAGCCTACAATTTTTTTAATATCCTATACTAATATTTACCGTTTACCTAAAAATAATTATCATTGTAATTTAAATTACTATTCATACCAAAATAATTGCTCCAATAATGTAGCCTATAATTTTTATAATCTTTAACTGGTTTTTAGCAATTTTAATATCTAAATTACATCTTACTTAGAAATAATTTAATATACATTATTACCAGGGACTCTGCTGGGTTCCTATGCGCTCGCATACCATTTTTTTATTAGTGCCCCCTCCACCTATTGTTTTACCACTTTTTAACAGTTTATTATTAAAATTATTATCATTAACGAGTGCTTTTGAAACATTCTCTTATTTATTTTGGGCATTTTATGCGATTTATTTGGGAGGTAGACATTTCATTTTTCTTATTCATAATCATGAATTTATTATACATATTCTAATATTGTCTAGGCTCATAAGTAAATTGGAATTTTTGGCAGATGACAGTTTTCATTTGTTTTCAATATCAAACGATGCCTCAAATATTTTCAATATCAAGCAATGGCACGTAGTTTTTTAGCATTTTTTTCTATTTATTTCTACAATATTACAATATTTTAATAATCACGTACATCCTAAAACATTTCCTTAATAAACTTCAGAAAGATTTATCAAAATCCGAATAATCGTTTAGGAGGAGTATATTTACATACATCATTACAGAAGAATTTATAAGATATATACGAGTTGGCGTTGGTTTTGAGAGGAATCGAAACCAATAAAAACATGTAATCACAATATTTGTAACCAATCATATTTTTTTACAATTTCCTACTAATATATTTTTAAAAATAGTGGAAAAAATTCACTAAATTGGTGACCCCGAAGTAATTTGGTATGAACACGCAATCACGTCTGGTTCACCAATTTAGTAAATTTATTTTTTTTATAAAGATGTATAAAATTCAAAGAAAAATATGATTGGTCACAAATATCGAGATGTCACGACTCTAATGTTTTCCTCATCTTTTGCCAACTCGCGTTGCTACATAAATATACTCCATGTCTCTGATCCGCTCAGATGTTATATTATATAAATCTCGTTATTATTGTCCTTTCTGGCCTCCAAGTATTCCTTGTCCTCAAGGTTTGGGGGAGAATGGGAGCAGGGGTACTCCCCTGACAATAAAATGGAGGAAAACGACCGGCATAGGGTTTTTCATCTCGTCAAACAATGGGGTCGTAAACGAGGTCGCCCTTGCATTGACCTTGACCCCATAACACTATGGAAGCATTCACTTGAATTCGCAAACACACATTATGAAATATATTGAGAAGTGGAAAAAATGATTGTTTTAGACATTTTAAAATATATATACAAGTTAAAGTAAATTTATATATATATATATATATATATATATATATACACACTTTTATACATTTATGTACTTTACACACAATAGCACTTACACACACTTACATCCACTTACTCACACTTATACACATTTTTCACAGAAACGAGGTGACAATATTGACTTTAAAAATTAGAAAGAAAGGATCTTACTTTGTTTCTTTGGAAAATACGAGCTTTTATGTGCAACCTACAGCTTTGGTGAAATTATGAGCTTTTAAGTGCAATCTACAGATTTGGTGAAATTATGACCATTTTTCGTTCTTGTGGTAAACTTTTGTTAATTTTGGTCATTTAAACTTTGGAACTGTAACCGTGAATAACATCTCTAGCACTATAGTAAAAAATAATTACACAATTTCAAGAATTAAGACTTTTTATTGACCTCTTATATTTTAAAAAAATGTAGCCAAGTGTGTCGGCACATTTTATCAAGAGTTGGAGCATTTAATCAGGTTTGTAAAATGGTAAAATACTTGATAAATTTATTAATGAAAAATTTTGAGTACAAAAATAAAAACCTATTTTTTCAGGGCAGTTAAGGTCAATACTTTCACGAAATTTCGGCTTGACATTGAGTGTATATTAAAATATGATACTTACCATTTCTAATTTAAAAATTGGTCCTTTCTATACTACAATATAAAAAATTCTTCTTCTGCAAACATCAAGCATTTTCCAAGTCCAGATTTCTGACTCAGTTTCTCAACATTGTTCTGAAAAAAAAAACAGAAATATAAATATAAAAATATATAAGTACATATAAAAAATAGTGCCAATAGTTGTATAAGTGTTAAATTCATTTGGGAGTGTAAAATATTTGTAAAGACATATAAAATATATCATATCTTACATATAAAAAATAGTGCCAATAGTTGTATAAGTGTAAAGACATATAAAATTTCAGTTTCACCACCAGATGGTTTCATTTAAAAGATAAGGAAAAAATTGCATGCTGTTGAAATTGAATAAAAATTTACACAATACACGTGATTGACGCTGTATGTGAAAAAAAGTGTTTTCCGCTTTTTTGTTGAAATCTTTCTTCAATTTTCTTTGCTATAAACCTCACGGAGTCCGAGACCTTTCCAACAAATGCAAAATCGTCGAAATCGGTTTGTGCGTTCTGGAGTTATATCGTCAGGAAGGAAAACCCGACTTATTTTTATATAGTAGAATATCATATTTTACATATAAAAAATAGTGCCAAGTCTTGTATAAGTGTTATATTCATTTAGGAGCGTGAAAGATTTCTAAAGACATCTGAAATGTATCATAAAATAGATCAAACCAGTGGTGCATGGCATAATGCCTTAAGGCAAATTGCTGGAACTTCCAGTATCGTAATAAAATATTCGAGGCATATTAAATATTTTCAATATAGAATATTATAAAAGCATAACTTATAAAAACTAAAATATAAAAAATTAAAAAAAAGAGATGACGAAGTTGATACGACAGAGTTATAATGAAGGATCTTATCTCATATGTAAAAGAATTATATAAACTGAATTGCATAGCTAAAATTATTTATTTCGGGTATATAAGTGAGCTTAAGAATTTCAGTTAGAATTAAAATTAAAATCCTAATCATTTTCTATATCTAAAATATCTTTTTTTAATTAAAAAAAGATCTTTTTGGGATTAAAAATAATCACGTTCGATATTTTAAACATAATAAATTTTTTAGATTTTTTTTAAATTTTTACATTTGAAATTAAAGATTTTTTTAACCATTTTTCAAAGTTAAAAATTTTATATAGGGAAATACATATTTTAGGAGCATTTATATTTTATTTCTTTACAAATAGTGGAAAACACTGGTATCAACAATTTTCACCTACAAACGAATAACATTTTGTACTGCAACTTTAAGAAAACAATTTTTTGAAACTGCAATAACACACTCACCACTTTTTGCTCTCAATCATTATAATAACTAAACTACATTTTTTATAAATTGTTAACACTACAAAATAATATTATTAATTTATTATTATTATTAATTTATTATAATTTATAACGTTCGACGTCCACAAAATCAGTGTTCGTACTGATTCTAGCTAAAAAGCGTTCAAGAGAAATTTTACATTCACTACAACAACAAATTATGAAGAGATAGTGAAAATAAAACAGTTACGCTTCGAAAGGCCAAGAAAATTGTTTAAATATAATAAGTTTTGCATAAAAACAACGAAATTATTAAAGCAAATCATTATGGTCATAGTGGACCGTATCGAGGACGTAAAAAAAATTGTGCGCCACTGGAAAAGTTACTTGAACAAAATAACAATGGACATTGTGAGTTTGAATACTGAGCGCTATAGTTTAGTTTCACAAGCGATTTTAAAGTATACCGAGTTGTTGTAGGGTCTTTTGTTGTTAGACAATGTTTTAGATTATTTAATATTGTACAAATTCGCGGAAGACTTCATTTCATATTAATTGAAAAGTTACAAGAGATTTAGTAAGTAAATGTACAAACACAGGAAGTACAAGACTAAAGCTGTGTAACTAATCGGATCAATTTCGCTCCTATTGATATCTTAGTTTTAAATGCGATTTTAAAGTATACCGAGTTGCTATATGGCTTTATATTATTAGACAATATTGTATATTATTTTACTTTGTACAAATTCGCCAAATACATCATTCATAAAAATGAAATAATTGAAGTGTTGCAAAAGGTGTAATAAATAAATGCTCTCAAATGAGTCGCAACATAATGAGCAACCTCTAAATCAGAAGTACCTACCTACATTTAAAATAAATTTATGTTCAGCATTTGAATGCAATTTTAGGGTATTTCGAAATGCTCTAGGGTTATTACAATACGGAAAGTTCCAGCAATTTGCCTTTAGGCACTATGCACCACTAGTTAATAGTTTGAATGTTACAAAACACAAAAGATCATCCAAGATTGCAGGAATTTCTAGAACTGTGTCCTCAGTGCACAAGTATATTCAACAATTTATATCAAATTGCAATTCTAACAGGTTCTGTATGAAAAGTAGAACATTCTATGTAGAACTTCGCCTCTAGGCCAATAAGATTCAAATTTTTATTATTTTTTGATTCCATATATGCCTTTCACTTCAGAAATTGTTCTTAAATGTACCGTAAAGCATAAATTATTATTATGGTTTAATATATATATATATATATATATATATATATATATCTTATACATAAAATTCTTTTGTACGGGTGTATGGTTTGATACTTCTCCTAAACGGTTATTCGGATTTTGCTAATTCTTTTTAGAGTTTGTCAAAAGAAATTTTTAAGATTTAATGAACGATAAAACTATAGTGATATTGTAAAAATGGCAAAAATTACAAAAAACCACTTATCATTGCTTGACATTGAAAACATTTGAACTGTCATCTGCTAGAAATGTCAATTCACTTGAAATTTTAATTTAGCTGAAATTATGAGCCTAGATAAAATAAGAATATAATACACAAAAAAATGCAATGTCTACATTATTATTGCCGAAAAGCAGCTGCGATGTGCCAGAAATTAAAATAATATAAGATACAGTCAACAGTATATGTTTGGCAGATGAAATTATATAATTCAGTTTAATAAATTACGCAATAAGACCAAAATTGCATGTACATAATTTTTTAAAACTTATGTATGTCGCATTTTGGTTTACTTTACTAAATTATTTAACAATACAACAAAATATTTCTACTTATTAAAAAAATGATTTAGAATTTTGTTTCATGTGTCAAAAATTCATTTGTTTGGCATTGGATATGGAATATTTATATTCATTTATATAAGTTGATCTTAGATTAAAGAGTGCACAAATGAACAAGATTTTACAAATTAATTCACCAAAGATTTGAACATAAACAATAATATTTATTGAATTATTAGTAAGAAACATGTAATTTAGAAATTATAATTGCCAAAAAGCAACTAATATATCGTACGAGATTAGAAAAATTATAGACTCAATTATTGAAGCTTTTACATTGTGTGGTAAAATCAAGTGTGATATTGTTCTTTTACTGCAGATACTATATTATTTTTTTCTGAATTTCTTATACTTATGCTAAGACCATGAGTAAATCATAAAGACAGAACATCAAATAAGATATTAAAAAGTATAGAATAGGATATTAAAAAAATTGTGTTTTTGAATTGTAGACGTGGGTACAGGACAACGTCTGTCGGGTCATCTAGTATATATATATATATATATATAAGGTTAATCCGATATATATGCACATATCGAATGGAAGAACATTTGTTTGAAGCACAGACACAAAGCCTTCTTGATAAATGTATATTTTATCCATTTCAATAAAGAAAGAAAAGCTCATTGTCTTTCTGCATGAATAAAATACTATTCCAACAGACAGACAATATATATATATATATATATATATATATATATATATAAGTATTTTATCAGTTGACTATTTCAATTATGATCAATTTTGAATTCATAAGATTTTTGATCAAATTAAATTCATAGTTCAACGAAAAGACTTTATTCTTGCAAACCTCAGACAATTTTTTGCCCAGGGTTCAAAGATTACGAATCCAAAGTTTAAAATACCAGAATTAATAAAATGTAACCACAATAAAATAGTTATATTTTCACCAAAGCTCTAGGTTGCACTTAAAAGCTCATAACTTTCAAACTAAGTGAGACATTTTTTTCTAATTTTTTTCATGAAAATTACGATCCCGTTTCAAGAAAGAACTGTAGAATGGTGTAGTGTAAATTGTGATTGAAAAAGTCTATATTGTTGACAAAAATGTGCGAAATTTTTGAGTATGAATGAAGTGAAAATTGTGAATACTGAAGTGTAAATCATGAAGGCAAATCGAGAAGTTGTAATTGTGACTAATGATGTGAATCTTCTGTGAATGTTGAGAAGTAAATTGTGAAGAACTGTATACAAGTATTTAGTATGAAGTAGAACTTACATTTTTTAACTTATAAACGCAAACTTAACAATGTACTTCAAAATAATCCTGTAAATCTTTGAATCCAATTTCCAAATCTTGTACCACAAAATCTGTCTCAAGGGTTTTGTTCTTGTCTTTGTTATTGATCTGTTTGAATCATTGGTATCAGCTGATCTGATATTAATAAATTTTCACCCTATTACAAAAACTGTAATAATTCATCAGAAATAGGACGGCTGTTTGGGTTGCCATCTGTAGAACTGACTAGTATTGAGTCAAATCAGCACAATAACTAATAGAGCCTATAATTTCTGATTTCTGACCAAAAAAATAAGAATATATCTCTATACTTAATGGAGCACTTCAACCTAATCCTTTACCCAATCTCTAAATCTTGTTCCACAAAATCTGGCTCGAGGGTTTTGTCTTGTCTTTGTCATTGATCTGGTTGAATCGGTATATTGGTATCATTGGTATCGACATCGATCTGTAGCCCTCAGGCTTTTGGCTCTCGAGGATCAAGTCTCGAGATTAGACTGAAAACCCTTTGATGGTTCAAAAGGTCAAAAGGCATTCGATAATTAATTGCCCTCTGTTGGGGGAAAGGACAAGCGATATTGGCAATTAGATAAATAAATCACAATGCAGCAATATATAAACAGGGTGTCCCAAAGTATAACGTCAAGCCAAAACGAAGTGATAGTACTATCCTCAAATGTAATAAAACAAATTAGAAAAAAAAACTTATTATGAGCGTTTAGATACAACCAGTGCTGGATTTACA